ATGAATGACTGGAAATCCTAAGTCTCTGTAAACTTTCATTAAAATTAATTTTAAAAAAAGAATAGAGACGTTCACACAAAAAAATTAATTACTGGCTAAAATTAGCACAGGGAATTGCAGATGGCTAGGTGCAAACTGTTTGTGCAAGAAATCCTACTTACATGCAGAAGAGAGGCCCCTGCAGCAAAGCAAGGAGAAATTTTCCTCCTAAATAAATGTTTATCATTAAAAAAGAAGAAAAAAAACCCCAAAAACAAATTAGGGTGGATCGTCCCATAAGTTGTCATTGCTTATTACATTATCCAATTATATACAGAACTATGTTTAGAACTTTTGTCCATAGGGTTGCTATGAGTTGTAATAGACTGAACAACACCCAACAATGATGACATCTACAACTTAGGGAGCTTAGGAAACAGTATGCTGCAGTTATTAACCCCAAAACTGGTCATCTCCAGCAATTCAAATCTACTATCTCCTATGTGGGAGTAACATGGGCATTTTCCTCCTTTTACTATTTACAGCCACAATAAGCAGACAGATGATGGTCTCATTATTTGTCTTTGCCCTATCAGTCTATCTGCACTACAACAGTAATCTTGTCTTATTCAGTAGGTATTCAGGAAGTACTCTAAATGAATAAAAAGGTTTATCTAAAGAGAAGTATGTAATTAGAAGTGTATATGTGAAGTCTAATGACCATAAAAAAATTAAAATGTTGTCAAAATCAAACTAGCTACCATGCAAAGGTATTGTATAGTAATTTAAAAACTCCCAGCTATGTAAAGTGTCCTAACAAACACATTTAGAAACATGTTCATTGCATGTATTTACTGACTGAACAAAATTAGGTAGAAATTTCATATATTCTAATGTGTTTATTGTCTTAACTATCAAATAAATCTTTTTCAAAATTTCCATACTTAATCACTACCTTCTTTAAAGTGTGCTATACTATGTAAAATTCACTCTTTCCTCAATTATTCTTTAATTAAAATAAATTTGTTATTCTCAACTGTTGCTTCTAAACGACCTTTTAAATCAACTGGCCAATTTCCTTAGCACGAAGTTAAAAAAATTTTGACTAGTCTACAGGTTTGTCCTAGAGAAGGTAAAGCCAGGCTGCTCCTTAGAGACAAGAATTCTGAGACTTCATGTGACATATTCTGGACATGTTGCAAGGAGGGACCAGTCCTTGGAGAGGGACATCATGCTTGGAAGGGTGGAGGGATGGAGGGAGAGAGAGAGGCCATTGATGAGATGGACTAATACAGTGACTAGGGTAACGAGGGTAGGTGTGTCAGAGACAGTAAAGTTGGTACAGAATAGAGCAGGTTTCAAGGCTGTTGTACACAGGGTCACTATGAGTCACAAGCAACTTGACGTCACATAACAACATTAATTTTATGAAGAAGCTTCTGTTTTTCATTGTCATCAAGCAAGAATCATCTCAAAGCTGACCCTCTAGCAGGTTTCAGAGGCTATACATTGTACAGAGGGGAAATGCCTATCTTTCTCCACAAGAACAATTGGTTGATTCAACTGCTTTGGGTTGGCAGCACAACTCCTTACCCACAGGACTACCAAACTCTCTATCATCAAAAAGCATAAAATCTTTTTACCAACTAGGAAGATAAGTTATCCCTCCACTAGGTTCTCTAGACTTGTTGTTATACTCAGTCTAGTCCCTTGGGACACATAGTGACCCTATGTACAACAGCCCTGAAACCTGCTCTATCCTATGCCAACCTTATTGTCTCTGACACATCTACCTTCATTACCCCAGACACTGAATCAAGGGTCTTCCTCTCTTGTGCTGTCCACCCTTCCAAGCATGGCATCCCTCTCCAAGGACTGGTTTCTCCTTGCAACATGACCAAAGTATGTCAGACGAAGCCTTGCCTTCAAAGAGCAGCCTGTTTTCATCCTCTTCAAGAGGAACCTGTTTTTTCTCCTGGAAGTCCCTGGTATATTCAACACTCTTACCCAGCACCACAGATCAAGGCATAAAGTCTATTCCTATCATCTCTAGTCATTATCCAGCTTTCTAACATAAAGCAAGTAATTGTAAAGACTATGGCCTGGATCAGGTGCACCTTAGCCTCTAGACTGACATCGCTGGTCTTCAGTACTCTGGAGAGGTCCCTGACAGCAGATTTTCTCATGTAATTTCTCTTTAGAGTAAGATTTTTATTTTCCCCATATATGTTAAAAGTTAAGCAGTTAAATGAAAAGGAAAAAAGTATCACTTATTAATTACAGTACTCTTTCACTAGTAATGATAGTGGCCTACCATCATGCTCAAGTTTTAGAAATTACTCTAATAATTAAAAATACCATCGTTGTATATATTTTTTTATTATATAGATAATAAAAAAACCCCACATATATAGGAACAGGAAGCTCTAGTGGCCTAGTGATAAAGAGCTTCCCAAGGGCACCCCGCTTCAATCTATCATCAGCTCTGTGGGAGATCTCCTGTGCTATTTCCAGCCTCTGAAAACCCACTAGAAGGTCAGCTATGAGTCAATTCCAACTCAACAGTATATGTAATTTTATTCCTGCGTATCTTAAGCATTGGCTGCTTACTGAAAGGTTAACAGTTTTAATTCGTCAGCCACTCTGTAGGAGGATGAGGCAGTCTCTTCCAAGCCCTCCAAGGTGACCTGACAGTTTGGTTCGGTTGGGTTTGGTGGCATCCATTAACAGCTATTATAAATTGGTACTGTTCAACTAAAAAAAAAAAGTAGTAGTGGTATTAAGATCATTAAAACATTTGTAATCTAGCCTAATACCTTTCCTGCCATTCACCCTAAAAGGATGCAGTTAGAGATTTATATACAAAATTGTTCAGTTATGTAAAACATTGAGGGAAGAGGTTGCTAAAAAATAAGCTCACAGTTTTTCTTTTAAAAAGTGGCACATCTTCATAATGAGTTATTTTGTAGCCACTAAGATCCCAATGTAATGACATGAAAAAGTACTAGGCAAATACTTTGAGGCCCAAATTCAGATACACAGTACATTTCATTATGACTTGGCATATGTAAATATACTGAAAAACACAAAAATTTTAACAGCATTAAAACTGATATAATTTTCTATCCTAAGAGCTTTTAAAAAACGATAAAGTCTCTAACTATAAACTCTTTTCAAAGACAAATACGTTATGAAAACATTTCTGGCATATGATTTGTTATTGTTTTCCTTCCACCTCTATACCCTTCTATTATTTCAAAATTAAAGTATGTACTAAAAATGGGTTTTTAATGAAAAACAACTAAGTAACCAACCAAAACATCATGTGTTCAGGTTTACAATGGATCAACAACAGTCTTTATTCAGAAGGGGAGAAACCAGTAGTACTAATATCAGGTTATATGTTATAGAGTACTGTTGCCACCACACACAGATATTTACAATGGTTATCTCGACAAAGTAAAAAAGGACTTTGAATCATTCAAGTTGTTATATATCATCCTACAGGATGGTCAGTGACTTTACATTTATTGTTGTTGCTGTATGGAGACTCATAGCGACCCTATGTACAACAGCCCTAAACTCTGCTCTATCCCTTGCCAACCAGGTTTTCTCTCCTGGGAAACAAACAAGTGCGTGGAACACTTGGACAATTCATTCACTTAAAATATGCAAAGTTGGCATGTTTTGCTGGGAGTTATGGCACCGGTATTCAAATATTGGCAAGGCCACCTATGACAGACAGGTTTCAGTAGACTAGGAAGAAAGGTCTGGCAATCTACTTCTGATAATTAACCCATGAAAACCTTATCAGTCACAAGAGAACACTGCCCAACTTGCTTGCTTTGGCCCATCATCAGAAAGGATCAACACGCTAGAGCAGGACATCATGTTTGGTAGAGTATATAGGATGGTGTAGGTGAGATATACTAGCACATTAGCTGTAACAACAGACTCAAACATGTTTGCAATTGAGAGAATGACACAGGACTAAGTAACATTTCAATCTGCTGTATTTAAGATTACCAGAAGTCAAAAGCAAAACCATAGCAACAAACCTCAAATGAAATATTTCATAATTATAAAATATAGTTAAATCTTTTGTTGAAATCATCTTTACATTTATATTTGACAACTCAAGATTTTATGAAGACACAATATATGAACTTCACAAAATATTACATACTGTCTTTTTAACAAAATATTAAAATGTATACATTTCACTATTGAAAGAAACGTGTTCTCAAAATGTTTTTTTCATGTTCTATATATTGTTTAATATTTTCCATAAAGGATTATGTATGTGTCTACCAGTACTAGTATACAGGGAAGAAATAATGAAGAAGGGGAGAAGAAAGGGAAGAACACGAAACTGCTATAAACTCCTGTGTCAGAATAAGAAAACATTTGACTTTCTGCTTGGCTGTTCAGTTGGAAGAAGCCGTAGGCAGCCATGGTGCCCAGCAGGAATGGCATGATCTTGAAGCCTCACT